GGAGTGTTGGAATAATATATCAAGTGTGAGTAAGTGCGGAAATAGTCTCACATTGAATAGAAATGTGGAGACTTAAGCATATATAAGTGGGAAAACCCACTCACCTATCACCTTAAGGTTTTAGGTGGATAAGTGGTGTGTCTCTCACAAATGTTCTTAGTCTTACACTATGTATCAATGCTCCTAGTATCTCCCCCCAACAGATTCAACAATATTCATTTGTTTGCACTTGTTCGATTTATGATTATTTGCTTCTATATAAAAATATAGGATTTTTTACGAAATGGGCTTGTAATGGTTTTTAGGATTTCAATTTTTGTGTTTGTGGTTCTCCATGCTATGTTGGTAGCGAAGTATAGATTTGAGAAAGAAACTCCTATTTTCAAACCATTTTTCTTTAGAGCATCAAGATATTAATTAGCTTTAGAGCATTTTTACTTTCAGTGAAAGCAATATGATTTTCCCATTCTTACTTTAATTATCTTTTTTTATGCACAAGGTTAATAAATGAAAAAAAGGTAAGCGAGAATATATTTATTGCAATGACGGCTAGAAAGTTTATAAAAGAAATGATTGGAAGGTTACAAATGACAGATACCACTAGCCTATTTATACACAAAGTAAATTGACACATACGCCCTAACAAAAGTAAACTTAATGACTAAGTTAAAAGGTACAAACTAGAAAATACTAAACTTAACAGCTACGCTAACAAACCCATAACCCAGAACCCCATAAGTTAAGCATACTTTTGGGCGTAACCTTAGAAGCTCCTGCTTCTGATTAATAGCAACTTTTGGTTACATCAAATTAATGCTTATAACTAAGTAGTCTCAAAAGCTTACAACTTCTGGCTAACAACCTCATAAGCTCTATTGCTTCTGAATAACAATATCTTCTGAATATGAATTACTTCCAACACCATCCCTTAATTCATATTCAACTAACCAAAAAACTTCAACATCAATTCCATCCCTCAAACGGATAAAGTGTTCAGTCTTGACATCCTTTGTCATAACATCTGCAAGTTGCTTCTGGTTGCTACAATGTGCAATTTCTAATACTCCATTTAGAAATGCAGATTTGTCCTTGAAAACTCATCTGACACTGATGTTTTTCTTTTTCTTCAGAAACTCAGTTAACTCCTAAGTCTTGTTTCTTTATGGCCTATGGACTTGTCCAAAATCTCCTTCTGGTTCTGTAACCGAAGTTCGACTACCACCAGAAGCTCCATCTTTGTTAACTTCTAGACCTCGTCCAAAACCACTACCTTCAGAAATAACATCTTCAAAAGTTGGATCACCTTCAGAAGCTTTGTCTTCAGAAGTTCCACCTTCAGAATCATGATCACCGTCAAAGGCTAGACTACCTTCAAAAGCTCCTCCTTTAGAAGGTTCACCTTTAAAGACATGATTATCACCAGAAACATGATCATCTTCAGAAGCTTGTCCTCCAGAACCTACGTCTTCAGAGTTTTCCCTTCTAAAAGCATGATCGCCACCAGATTCTGGATCATCATCACAATCTGGATCAAAATCAGATTCACCATCTGACTCACTTTCAAAGTTTCCAGAGTCATCATCTTCTGACTCTAGCTCTTCTTCAGAACTTTCAAGTTCTGGCTCATCTTCAGAAGCAGAATCTTCTTCAGATTCTGACTCATCTTCTGATTCTTCTTCAGACTCAGAATCACCTTTGGATTCTGACTTGTCTTCATCTTCAACTCTAACTCTAACTCGTCTTCAAAAATCTCAAATTCTGACTCATCTTCAGAATCTTCAGTGTCATCTTCAAACACTCCTTCAGAGTCAGAATATTCAGAGTCATCTTCTTCCCCTTTAGAATCAGAAAATGACAATCTCACAGGTTCCTCATCACGTTCATAAGCCATTAATAACACATGTTCATCATCTGAATCTCCTCTGGCTATTTTTTCTTCTTCTTTGTTTGACCAACAATCTTTAGCAAAGTGGCCAAATCTATTACAACAATAACATTGAACCATTCTCTTGTCATACTTCTCCTTTCCCTTATGATATTTCTTTTCATCAGAATAGAAGACTTCTGACTTATGGGAACTACCACTATGTCTCTTATGCTTCTGGTCTTTCTTGACAAAAGAAGCCTTCAGATCTTGCTTAACTTCTCTCTCAGAAGTTCTTTCAGTCAGACGCAACTCATGCGCCTCTAAACTGCTTTGCAGATCTTCTATTCTCATGGTTTCCAGATCTTTAGAATATTCAATTGCTACGACAATGTAATCAAATTGAGGAGTAAGAGACCTCAATATTTTCTCAATGATTACTTGTTCAAATAAGGTTTCTCCATAATCTTTCATCTCATTAGTGATCAGAATAACTCTAGAGATGTACTCAGAAACCTTCTCATTATTCTTCATGTTGAGATTCTCATATTACTTTCGTAGAGACTGAAGCTTCATCTTCTTCACTGATGCGTCACCACCGTAACACCTACTCAGTATGTCCTACGCAGCCTTCGCCGTCGTCGAATCAATAATTTTCTCAAATACGTTCTCATCCACACACTGATGGATGAAGAACAACTCATTATGATCTTTCTTCCTTTGTATCTCTCAGTGCATTTCTTTGTTCCTCCGTCGCATTTGCTGCAACTGGAACATAATAATTTGTAACAAGCTCAAGAACATCCTGAGCGCCAAATAACACACACATCTGAATCATCCAAGATTTCAGTTTTTGTCATTAAATACTGGAAGCTTGGTGCTTAGACTACCATTTTTCGGTCATATATTACAAACACATTGTTTCTCAATCCCACGGAATCAAAAAATATGATTTTGTTCAGATTTTGTTCAAGATTCAACACGCATTCAAGAACCAAATCGATCACACAAAGTCTTACCGTTTCACTCGTGTTTCCCGTGAATCTAACCAGAGATCTAGATATCAATTCTTGGTGCACAAGATTAATAAATGAAGGAAAGATAAGAGAGAATATATTTATTGCAATTAGGCTAGAAAGCTTACAAAAGAAATTATTGGAAGGTTACAAATGACAGTTACCACTAGTCTATTTATACACAAAGTAAATTGACACGTAGGCTTTAACAAAAACAAACTTAATGACTAAGTTAAAAGGTGCAAACTAGGAAATATTAAACTTAACAACTACGCTAACAAACTCAGAATTCAGAATCCAAAAAACTAAGCATACTTTTAGGCGTAACCTCAAAAACTTCTGTTTCTGATTAATAACAACTTCTAATTACATCAAACTATTGTTTCTAACTAAGCAGTCTCAGAAACTTACAGCTTCTGACTAACGATCTCAGAAACTCTACTGCTTCTGAATATGAATTACTTCCGACATCTTTTATTTTGAATTTATCATTATAGACGTGAGTGTGTTTGAACTATATGATCAAGGTAAACTGCATTGTAATAACAAGAAAATATATTTTGTTTAAGGTCCCACGTCTGTTTGTTCTTAAATAAAATATGTGTTTATAAACCTTATCCATACTTCACTTATTTGCCATCTTATGCATTGGAGTAAGGCCGGAAAGAAATGGACTTTAGGTCCAAAGCATTTCTTTTAAAAACTTAATTAATTTCTAAAATAATTGAATTAAAATTAAATTACTAAATAAAATGATTAACTATTTATAAAAAAATTGAATTAAAATTAAGACATATACAAAAGTGAAGAGAAACACAAAAATCCAAAGACCATTCCTAATCATCAATGTCATATATACAAAAATAGAGGGAAATACAAAAATTTAAAGACCATCAAAATTAATAAATTAGAATCGTTGATTTTATATTAAAAAGATTAATTTTTAAAATATTCAAATTAGAAGATCAAAAATAAATTTAAACCAAAAATCTTTTAAATCTATTCTCGAAATTAAAACTAATTATTTATTTTAAAAGATTATCTCAAAATTTTATTTAAGTTCTAAAAAGTTATAATATAATACTAAAAAAAATTGTTTGAATGTGGTAGCTCAATTGATACGTGTCAATTGGAATAAATAAGTGTAAAGTGTTGATTTAAAATTAATTCTTCATCAATATGAGTTATTTATGTATTTATGTATTAATATGAATAAAATTTTATATTTAATTTTAAAAATCAATAAACAAAATTTCTAAATCAATAATAAAATACTTAATATATTATATGTTCAGAGTTAAATCAACAACTTTTAAAAAAAATAAATACTCAAAATTTTCAAATTTAATTTTAAAATTCCATTTAAAAAAATCTTAGTAATATATTATAAATTTTAATTGCATAATTTTATATTTTTTTAAAATAAACAAGTTTCAAAAAAGTTCCCTTCGACTTTTTCATCATAAATTTTTTTTCAATTAGACTTTTCCATTAGACTTGTATATGCTACAGGACTTAAAATTATGTTTCATAGCATAACTTTATATATTTGCAATGTTCAAATTTTTTCTCAAATTTATTTTGATTTTTTAACTTAAAAAAATATTTATAATGAATCTTTAATCATTTAAAATATATTATTTTAATTTTTTTTCACGGCAGAAATATTTAAAAATGAATTGTTAAAATTTTCTTTAATTAGATAAAAAGACTAAAGAAATATATTTTGAAGAGTTAATAAATTAGTACAATTAAAATAAAAAATATTAAACCTTGTTTAAACAATAAAAATACAAAAATGTGTTATTATGTTTTATTGATTAAAAATATTAGTGTATTGACTAAACAAGTTTACATGATATATACTATTGTTGATACTAGTAATAGATAATTAACATTACTTAAACTTAGATTTGATTGTTAAATTAGTGTAATTTTGAAATTCACATTGATTATTGAAATCAGTGATTTTTTTTTGTCAATTACCATGAGTAGTTATAGTGTTGGTTGACGAGGGAGCAAAACGACGTCGTTGAAATTGAAAGAGATAACGCATAGTTAACGACAACAAACACCACACAAACGAGCATTGAACCCAACAACAGTTACAGCAAAGAATTATGGCGACGGCGGATTCCGACGGTATCACACCGCCTCATGAGGAGGATTCTTCCAACGCCATCGTTCCCGGCCCTACTTCCGTTTGTCTTATCCGTTTCGCCGCTGAGTCCGCCCAAGGCGCTCTCATGGGTTCCGTTTTTGGATTCGGTCTTTCTCTTTTCTTTTCTTTTTTCTCTCTTCTATTCACTAATTACATACTTAATTATGCTTCTTTTGATTTGAATTTTTAATTTGGGAATTTAATCGAGGGTTTAGTGTTTGTTTATGTTTGTTTATGTTTTATAGCGTTTGTGTTTGTCAATTCTGTGTAATTCATTTTCAATAGTTGAAATTAACATTGGTTTTGACACCAGATTTGAAGTTCACTAGAAATGGTAAATTGTTTTAGTAAGGCTTAGTTGCAATGCCTAGATTGTTTTTAGTATGGTTTTAAATTGCAGTTGCGGGTGTTGTGATTGCAGTGCACATTGCGGCCATTGCAGCGTGGATTTTGATCGAGAAGAGTTTGAAATACACTGTTAAAAAACACTTAATATTAAGATTTTTTCAGAAATAAATTGAGTTTTGGGGTTTTTAATTTTGTGTTTTTGACGAAAATACTTGAACAAACTTGGGCAAAGTTGTCTGATGCGGTTCATAATGTGGAAGGACGCTTGATTTCAAATCACACTGTAATTGCGGTCTGATGTGCTTGCGGAGGGTACCGTATCAGCAATATTACGGATGCAATTGTGGTTGTGGACCGCAATTTAAAACCATGATTGTTACCCTGAATATTTTCTATGGTTAACTTGGTTCAAGCCTTGGATCTATCTTTTGTGTGTGTGAGTTTTCAGGGGTGTTTTGTTTGTCCTTCTGTCTACATACCAAAGAGAAATGATAAAGTGATATTTGCATTAGGGTGTAAAACCAATGCCGAGAAACTTGCTTTTAGATTAAAAAAGTATTTGGTATGAATTTCATTTCTGTTTACACCCTATTTTGACCAAATCAATTTTATAATTAAAGCCAATCACATATGTAATTTGTTTTAGCAGTTGGCAAGACAGCTTATGTTTTGCTTAGAATAATTGAGAGCCAGGCAATGAATTTGGTTACGAAATTACTGGTGTTCGCCTAAATTTAATGAGTTAGCTTTTTCAATTGATTTCTATTACTTTCTGACTATTGTTATATTCAGTGTCTGTATCTTTGAGAAGTTTGACTTTTGGATACCTAAATAAGTTTATGTTTTTCTGAGCTGTATGCTTAAGGATGCTTGTGATGGGTGTGTTCAGGTGCTGGATTGTTTAAGAAGAAAGGATTTAAAGGATCCTTTGTAGATGCTGGATCTTATGCAAAGGTTTGAAAACCTCATAACTTTTTTGTTGGTTTGTTATTATCAACTTGGTAAATCTTTGTGTAGTAGAATAAATCATATGTTTTTATATAGCTTCAATTTTGCTCTTCAATAATAGTTTTTCTTTGCTTTGTTAGACATTTGCAGTTTTGTCTGGAGTTCATAGTTTGGTTGTTTGCATCTTGAAAAGAATTCGAGGAAAGGATGATGGTATGAAATATTTAACTATGAATGCACTTTTGCTTCAATGTTGTTTTTTCACTAATAATTTCTCTACTTTTGCATCTGCAGTCATTAACGCTGGAGTAGCTGGATGCTGCACTGGACTTGCTCTAAGTTTTCCGGGTATTTTTCTTAGCATTTAAATAAATGGATGAATCTTTCCTATCTTTGAAACTTGTTCCATTTTATTGGACTAATAAGAAAGTAGGGTATAGGGAATAAGCTTTATCATCAACATATACATCTATAAAATTCATTCTTAATGTGTCTTAAAAACGATATCATCACATCACATATGCCTTAAATAGATGTAAATTGTCCCTTATTGGTGGGTGGTGAGAGTCATGAGACTATTTTGGAATTGTATGCGCGTCTGTGGAATCCATGGCCACCACCACCCAACAAAAGGATAAATGAAAAAAGAAAATCAATTTTTTCTTTAGTCACGTTGCCTTCTATTCATTAAAATTCATTCTATTGTTTACCTAAACACATTTCTGAATTTCATTTTTGTACTTGTTTTTTTGTCACGACTTATCCTCTAGTATTTATTCTTCAGGCGCACCACAGGCTCTTCTGCAGAGCTGCCTCACTTTTGGAGCATTTTCTTTTATCCTGGAAGGGCTAAACAAACAGAAACCAGCACTTGCACTTCCCATGTCCTGGAAAACAAGGGTGCAACACAATGCACGACTTCCCTCGGTACTCCCCCTTCAATTCCCTCTTCCAAATGAAGTGAAAGAAGCTTTCTCCTCTTTCTCAGAGTCTCTTAAAAAGCGCAGCAAGGGAGCTTATCCTACATCTTGGTAAAACATCTCAGAATCATAACCTCTTGCTCCATGTAGATAAGATATGCGCCCTTCTTCGCTTTTATTTAGGATCTTTGCAGTTTTTATCAGTATTTCTTTTTGAAGAACTTGAGGTTGAGTTGACATGCTATTTTGTTCCAATTTAGCATCTTGGTTGTTCTCTATCATGGCTTTTCTTGGCCAATAGTCGGAACTCGAGAGGACGGTCTGTAATGAATGATTGAGCTTAATTAATTAATTCGCTTACCATTAGATATACACTTGTTTGAATTAGCAGCAATTTCAGTTGGAATTCCAAATCCTGAATAACTTAACTACAAATATTTAGTTTTATTAATTATACGCTTATAATGATGACAATCCAAATCAAACTTAGTAAGTTGCAATTGAAATTGTTATAAATTCCAAGCATTCATCATAGCATATGCTACTACAGTTGATTCCAATCTACCACATTCTTCTATATTATTACTATTATTGTCATTTGAAAAATAATTCCTCTTTTAATAAGCATCTGTTCTTTTTTTCTTTTTTTTTTTTAATTTGCAAATGAATTTGATTATTTATTCAATTATTCTATATTCACTTTGTAGAAATAATTTAGAAATCTCACTTTGGTGTTAATATTATATTAGTTTAATATATTTGTAGTATGTTATAAATTTAAGAATACTTTTCTATGAGCTTATACTAATTATAATATGAAAATTTTGCTACTGACATATATCATACAAAAGAATATAATATCAAGCTATCATCGTCTAAATAATAAGATGACAACCGAAGAGTTTGTTTGAGAATGATATTTTTTCAATAAAAACAGAACTTTTTGGAATTTTAACTCCAATTACTTTACAAAAGTTGGCAATTTACTGAGTTATATGTATAAAAAATTTCGTATTTGTTTTACAAAAAAAACATATATGTTGTAGTGAAAATCTAAAATGATATTCTCTCAAAAATAAAATAAAATGGTGTATTCACAAATTAAAGAAAAAACGTAGAGTAACTATAATTTGTAATAGTTTAGTTTTTTATTTTCTTTATGATCATATATATAGTTTTGGTAAATATCACGTGAGGGTTTCATCGTTCTAGTCGATAAATGACTTGAATATTATACACTGAAGTTTGATTTTATTCGATCTATCTAGGCCCTGGATATTACATGGTGAAGATTGTCGTGCATGAAAACCGTGAGAATATTTTTGAAAGCCGGGATCTATATGCTAGTCTACATTGGTTCACATGAGGTTAGACTTTCTTTTTAAATAGAAAATAAGTTAAATTTTGTATAAGTCTATTTAGTTAAAAAGAGTAGGTAATAGATCACAATTTTTTTTTAAATCTATCAGATCGATTTATTTAAATAAATATTAATAATTTTATTATTATTATATAGTATTTGTATTTTAAATTAAAATACAAAAATGAAGTTTAGATTTAGAAGTACTTATAAAAATACGCTGAAAAAACTTTATGAACAATGTCATAAGTGGTTTTCGTAAGTTTTCTCAAACAATTAGTATCACAAAATATATGTTAATAGATAAACTTGAATAAGTCAATGCAAATAAGCGTCTATTCTAATTAATATTTTAATTTGTTAGTCTATTTTAACATTAGTTGAATTGCTTATTTGAAAATGTTTTTAAATAAAATAGACTTTTCTGTAGGTTAATAGGTCAACCAGACTTTCGAAATCACTCAAACTCAAGCTTAAAAATAAGCCTTTGATAAGCCACAAGTCAAACTTAGATTTTGAAATTTTTAACTTATCATACTTAGACTTGACAAAGTCTAACTCGGTTCAACTTATTTCCACCATTCCTTGACCATTTGTAAATGGTTGCCACTTTAATCCAATATTGAGTATACAAATCGTACATTAGTTTAGATATAAAATGTGTTAGTGTGTGAGACACTTTAGTGAAGAGAGAAAGAGAAAATAATAAAGGAAATAAGAATTTATATTGTTGAAATTGTTACAAATAATGATACAGACTAGGATTATTTATATACAACTCTAATTGAGCTTGGGTCTACACAACTTGAATTATATTTAAATATTAAATCTAATCTAATTTAATATTTTAACAAATCTAATTTAATATTTCAACACACCCCATAATCCAAGTTGTCGAACATTCTCAAAAATAGTCAATCTGAATTATTCCTAATTTCTTTCTTAAATTCAGGAATCTTTCGATATTCAATCATTTGGTGAAAATATCGGCCAACTGTGCTTCACTTGATCAATGTCTAACTTCAAGTTCACCTTGATTTACCTTTTCCCTCAAGAAGTGAAACCTTGCTTCAATATGTTTACTTCTTCCATGCAGAACTGGATTCTTCGCCAGATTTATGGCTGACTTGTTGACGATTTGTAATACAAGAGGTTTCTTCACTTCGACCATTATTTCTTCAAGTACATATCTGAACCAAATTGCTTGATATATAACATAGGATCCTGCTATATATCTAGTTTCACAAGATGATAATGCCACCACAGGTTATTTCTTCGAACACCATGAGATTGGAACACTAAATACTTGAAAGAAATATCCAGTTGTGCTTCTTTAATCTTCCTTATTTCCACACCAATCACATATGAAAAACAATTAACTATTGCTTCTTTGTCTTCAGAGTCTCGTCGAAATAGTATTCCACAGTTTATCGAACCCTTCAAATATCTCAGGATCCTTCTTGCAGTCCTCATATGTGACACTCTTGGTTCACTCATATATCTGCTTACTAATCCTACCGCGAAACCTATATCAGGTTGACTGTTGCACACATACCTCAGAGATCCCACAATTTGCTTGAACAAAGTTATATCGACTCTGTCTTCCTTTCCATTCTTCTCCAATTTTACATTTGGTTCGACAGGTGAGGATGCAGGATTCGAATCACCCATTCTGAATCTCTTGAATATTTCTTTGACATATTTCCTTTGATGTAGCATCATACCTTACTTCGACATTTGAAATTCCATACCTAAGAAATAAGACCATTTTCCAGATCAGACATTTTAAATTCCTTCATCATCAGCTCTTTGAACTTTGACAAGTTCTCCAAGATATTTCCAGTTACTAGCAAGTCATCGACATATTAGCAGATGATTGATTATATCTTGTGCTACAACCTGAACATAGACACCACACTCACATTTGCACTTGACAAATCCCAATTCGACTAAGTATGAGTCGATCTTCTAGTTTCATGCCCTAGGTGCCTGCTTGAGGCCATATAGCATTTTGTCCAACTTATATACTTTACTCGTTTCCTTCTGAATCACAAACTCTGGAGGTTGTGTGACATATACTTCTTCGTCTAAAGGACCATTCAGAAATACTGATTTCACATCTAAATGAAATGTCGACCAACCTTGGTTGCATGTCAATGCTACCACTAGTCGAACAATCTCTAATCTTGCTACTGGAGCAAATACTTCAGAGTAGTCGAGTCCTTCTCTTTGAAGAAACCTTTGAGCTACTAATCTTTCTTTATGTCTTGCTATCGACCCATCTGCATTATGTTTCAACTTGAACACCCACTTTACTTCGATAGTTTTTGTATGTGCTGCCAATTTGACTAACTCTCATGTGTTGTTTCTTTCGATTTTCTGTAACTCTTCGATCATAGCTAACTTCCACTATTTAGTTTTTAAAGCTTCGCTATAAACTAATTCTCCATCTAGTGTGACTTCATCATCACTCACCACTTCATAATCATGAAGTCTTGTTGGAAGAACTCTATTTCTTTGAAGTCTTTGGCTTGTTTCAGCCACAGTCTCTTCGACTTCGACTGTGTCGGGAATGTTAACAAGTGCTTCTTTTTCGACTTCGACTGTGTCAGGAATGTCAGCAACTGATTCTTCTTCGACTTCGACTGTGTCGAGAATGTCAACAACTGCTTCTTCTTCGACTTCCACAACCTCTTCGACTGGATTCTCAATAATTCCTTTGACATCAACTTCATCAGTTTCTTCATCGACATTGTGGTCAACAATAGTTTTCAAACATTGAAGTTCATTCAAACTGATCATAGTCTTAAATGTCCTGTTCTTCGACAATAGAGATTTTAAAACCAAATTGTTCTTGGTGTCGAACAATTTCAAAACTCCATCTTTCATGACAATTAAGAAATCTTTTTCGACTAGTTGTCCAACACTTAGCATGTTGCACTTTATTCCAGGTACATAAAATACATCTTTAATCATAGCTTTTCCTCCATTACTCATTTGAAAGACTATATTGCCAGTACCTTCTGCTTGCAATAAACTATTATCAGCAAGTTTTACCTTGCTCTTCTTCGACTCGTCAAAATCTGCCAACCACTCCTTTCAACCAGTCATGTGGTTCGAGCAGCCTGAGTTGAGAAACTAGACCTTGGATTCGACATGGTTATCTGGAACTGCATCCATAACCACCATACCACCTTCAGAGTCATCTGAATCTTGACATGCAAGGTTCGCTCCTTCGCCCTTGCTTGTTGATCCCTTGTCTTTTCTGTACCAACAATTCTTGGTTACGTGACCCCACTTTTCACAGTTATAGCACTGCACACTTTTTTTTAAAATCTTTGTTGCCCTTTCGATAGTTTCCTCCTCCTCCTTTCGAGGATTCAGAAACTTTATCTTTGACCTGATGTTTGTGATGTTTTGACTAAGACTTCTTGCCCTGAGTTTTGTCGAACTTGCCTTTGAATTTGTTGGAACCACCATCCTTTTTCTATGACTGAGCTTGCAGAGCCTGTATCGAGTCTTGCACTCATTTCCTTTCGACAATCCTCATCTCATGCGCCTCCAACGAACCAACAAAATTTTCCACTTTAGTGGTTTTAGGATTGTTTGATTCTTGAATAGCTAAGATAACGTGATCAAAGTGAGAGGTCAACGTTCTCATTACCTTCTCAACTATCATCTTATCAGTTATGATTTTACCACAACCCTTCATGAGATGGACGTGTTTTTGAATCTTCGACACATATTCTGTAACT